TTTGAGGGTTAAAAGATTAGCTTTTGCCTGACAATGTGACTATGGGGAATTTTAGAGATATTTGGAGGGTTTGTGGTGATAAAGAATATCTATTCTTACCCTATGGATGGACAGGATTTTGTTACATGTCAATGTTGAAGCTTCCATATGAGGTTTCTACCATTATAAGAGGGGTAGCACCGGACACAGAAATCTGAAGCTATATTTGAAATTGGATGAAAAGAGACATGCTACATGTCATAGTCTTCAAGCCTATCATTGAAGTATAAATCTAAGGGAGAAGGGGGGACTTTTTCCATGGTAGGGTGTAACATTTGGGAAGATCCTATTGATGATAATAGTTATACTTTGAGTCCAGATAGTCCAGATAGTTATATATGCATTAAAGAATATAAGGGATGTGTTTGGGAGATCTGAGAAGATTTGGTTGCAAGATCAGGTAGGCCAGTAGGGGCAGTGATGGGTTACATTTAATGGCAGCTTTGATAACACTGTGTGTGAGGTTTGTAATTTGTTACTGACCTTTGAGAAAGCTATGATATTGAGATAGGTTGGAGAGTGATGTCTGGAGACAACACTCAGATGCCGGTGTTGACTGTTCCTGATCCGGATAAAGATGGACCAGTGGAACTGAATGGATAAATATCATTTTTGATGTTTTGATCATTTTCCAATTTTTTTTCCAATATTAGGGTGATTTTGGTATGATTTATGAATCAAAGGGGGGGAATAGGTTTATGTGATTCATGCATCGTTTATATATCATTGTTATATTCTTAGTTGATATTGATGGTCAATTTGAAAGTGTTGTTTTGCAAAGGATACTGTTTGGTCTTTTTCTTTTCTTCCAGAAGCATTTGGGGGACATGTGGAGATTGAAATACTCAAACAAAGACAATATGAAGGGACAATATGACTGGAGGAGATGAAACAAGGAGGGTGTGGCTGATTCCATCATCAACAGTCCATTGGAAGAGGAGACTACGGGGAGATGAAGTGTAGTGGACTACATTCCAGTGTCTGCAATGAAATATAGACATGTGTAATACATAATTTGTGTCATATTCTTAGGTATTAATTTTTGTAGAAGGATATTTGATGTTATTGAATACATGTGAGGATCTTAGATGTTTTTGTTTATTTCGGTGAATGCTTAGGGACAGAAAGTCTAGGCAGGGAGAGATTCACTGTAAGGTCCAATGGGTTGACCAGCCTTACAAGTGGATGTTTTTGGATAGGATTTTGTTTGCAAGGGCTTACATGTGTATTTAATTGCATCATAGTTTCAAATGCATTTACATGGTTTATGAGGTTATCTGGAGTACCGAAGGTGGTTGCCTGGGGCAGAGGGACCGTGAGAGAATTTTACTGTCTTGATTGATGGATGGAAGGTTGCCGGACAGTTTTTCGCTCTTACACTCCATAGAGATTTGTTCATATTTCATAGTAATGTATTCACACTTCATAAACAGTTATTTCATAGAAAGGTATTTACACTCTAGAGGAGAATGTTTTTGGTTTAATGTTAAAGATACTCAATAAGATAAATTGTTACTGGTCATAATCCTATTCTGTTTGTTGTCGAGACGTTTAATTTGTCTCGAAGGGGGGAATATGTCGTGTATTGAGATTATGACTGTTTTGGAGGAACAAGGAATGTTGTTTATGTTAGTATCAAAAGGGAATGTTTTAGGGTGACGCCCCAGGGGAGACTGGTGATTGGCCAGAAGAGGGAGCATCATTGGTTATAAATAGGGGGGAAAACGAAGAAGAAAGGCAGAACGAGCAGCCATTCTGAGGCGTCACTCTCCGGGTGTCATGTCACCTGTCACTCATGCTGAAGCTTCTGATCTGAATAAACCTTATGATCAACGTTCAGTATGAGCAGACTCCTTTTGTTCATCAGCAATAATTGCCACCACTCACTCGATACGACAAGGCAAAAATCATCAACTATCAATCTATTAATAAGCGGTGAGTTTCATACATCATGTTCAGTGCTACGGTAAGGACGTGCAAGATGCTAGTAATTAAACAAAGTTTCAGGAGGGGTGATGTTTCATTCATAAGGAGACTTGGAATTGAATTGTGAATTATTCTGGACACAGCAGAATTCCAGTCATTCACAGATTTTTGTACGTCTATAAGGTTATGCACTGTATTATTCATTATATTAGCATATGTTTACACTAGGTAGAAGTGGGATTGGTGCATCAATTTCTAAAGAAGGGGTGACAGAAAAGTCAATACCTTTAGCCACAGCTGTGTTTCTTATTTCAGAGCTAAGCAGACACAACATATTACTCTGAATAATACAATTATAATAAAATAAAATAAATAAATAAAATTCTCAGCCTCTGTAAACAACCCAGCCTCTGTAAACAACCCAGCCTCTGTAAACAACAGAGTAGACACAATAATTCCCTGTAGCTTGTAAAAAAATTTTTTACGTACAGTATATATTACTAGCTCAATTTGATAGACTACATTCATATGTTACTTGTGGAATAATGTCCTTTGCAAACCTGAGAGTCTGTGATTCACAAAACTACCATTTCAACCATCCTGTATTATTCTAGCAGAACGTTTTACTGAGCCCAAATCATGTTTCAACCATTAAACGTTTAGAAGACGAGCTGTCCTTGAACTAATATTTTATTAGATAGAGAATACATCTTTATTGTCTTATTAAACCATTAATATGGCTCTCACCTGCATAGCCAGCAACTCCCCTCTTCTTACCACTTTGCCCAGAAAGCCACACTGAGAAACTGATGATCAAGAGTCACCTGCAATTCTGCAATTTCAGGCAGTGCTCAAAACCTTGTCACTAACAGTGTGATGTCCAATTACTTTAATTGGTTGTGTGACATGATGGTCAATAGGGTCCTTCTCTCCCTGAAAAAAGTCAGCATATCTCATCAATATCTCAATACTCTTAAACTCATGTGGCTTTTTCTGAAGACAACAGAAAACTGCAGGCACCATAGGCACTTCGGTCTCCTACTGTACCTCGCTCCCTGCAGACTGCAACAGGCTCGACTAATAAAGAGAAAAAATAATGAGGTATAATCACCATCTGGCCAAAGAGTTATGGGTACACTTAAGAGACTTCAAAAATGATAACTAGTTTTGATTATTTATTTGGTCCCCAGTAAGTAGCTCCCATGGGGTAGAGTCTATAATAAGCGTAACATTGAATAGTAAGGATTCTAAACCATTTGCTTTCTTACATGAAATTGGAACAGCATTACATTAATTTATTAGGACTGTGTATGGCTTGGCTAGTAAAGACCTTCTATAATGCAACTATAATTTGCAATATTTGTGACCTACGTAAGCCAATGTTCAGCTTTGAAAGGCCTGGTTACATCTGCTGCTACTCAAAACCTGGGTGTCATGTTCCAAATGTTCCACTGTTTTAATGTGGATCCATAAAGAGGTCTACACTGAATGCATTGGAGGCTGTATAAAAACAACCAAATATGCTACATTACTGTCATGGTTTCTGTGTTGATCATTAGAAATGTCTTAATTGTTGCAGACCAACCATTGACATCCAAAAAACTGTAACGATGTGACAGAACTTCACAAGAAACTCACAAGAGTTTCCTGAACTCACAAGAAAACTGTGCTAATGAGATCTGGTCCAAAAATAGTAGGGAAGAAAATAAAATATTTTTTCACTAAACCAGATGCTCAACTCAGCTCCTCAATTTAAAAGACTGACACAGCTTTCATTAGAAAACTTCAATGGAAAAATCACTCTTTGAAATCATCCACCCAGCAACCTATATATGGTAACCTTTGAAATCATTAGAACTTGTCCAGTTTGCTGTAGAATTCGGACCAATTGAAAGTCTTGCCATGGGATTTGCTAGGTCATCACACTGACTGACAATGTGCATTGTAGGCCTATTCCTATAGACGGATTAGCTGACAACGTCACGAAAACGATGAGCACGCTTCAATGGGGCAGAAGTCAGTGTGTTGTTGGGATTCTGGATGGCCAGATAGCTAGCAACAATGACAAGCTGCTGCCATGTGGGGAATCATAGGTGGCTCGTTTCAGCTAGTTTTATCTTGTTCTTGATACAATGTCTTGTTTTGAGGTGTTTTGGCTGATGTCACGTCTATGCTAATATGGCAAAAATTCACTATGTAGCTAACCAACAACAGTAACGATGTACTTGAGAGACAGCAAGTGCTCATTATGCAAATGTTTTTATGTTTTCAATAAACATTGGAGACTAAATATATTTTACATGTGGTCAACAATCTAAGCCAACCCTGTCTGTTTTGCCCCCTAGTTGCGCATACGTCGGTTTTGTGGCTAAACAACCAACTAATCTATGGAATGACAAAATAGGCAATATGAAGATTGAGGGAGACATTCCTCAGCTTATTTATAGATACCATGCTTCTCAAGTGTCTGATAGCCGATGCACTTCCCCACAAATCATATGCAGCGTTCTCATTGTAAAAATAGTCCAGAACAACCATATCATTAGCAATTTCATTCCACATGTCATTACATGACCAACAGTCAGTGCAGAGTATGGAAGTGAGGGTAGTTAATTAAATTGAGTGGCTAGTAAACACTAGGGGTCAAAATAATTACTGACCTTAAGTGAGAACATGACACAGACCACAGACTCTTTCCATTTTCTACCAACTCTATCACCAAAGAGCCTCTGAGATTCACAGCATATTAGCCAAATAAGAGATGAATTCCTCACAATAGATTACTCACAATTACACTGTAGATCCCTCAAATTCAAATCTGGACCTTGAAGTCAGTTCCACTGCTTTTCTCATCTTTCCCCTATAATCTTTGGACTGATTTAGACCTGGGACACCAAGTGGGTGCAATTCATTATCAGGTACAACAGAAAACCAGCAGGCTCCGGGACCTCGTAGGTTAAGAGTTGAATACCTCCAATGTAGGTGTATCAAATACAAACACACGATCAAAACAGACTCACCCTTTCTGCCGACTGCGCCGTCCCAAAGAAGATGGGTATAAATGCTAACCAAATAATGCAGGTAGTGTACATAGTAAATCCAATAGGCTTTGCCTCGTTGAAGGTCTCTGGCACTCCCCTGGTCTTGATGGCGTAAACAGTGCATGTGACCATCAACAGGATACTGTATCCAAGCGAGCAGATGAGTGAGAGGTCTGAGATGTCACACTTGAGCACCCCGCGGGCGTTCTCAGGGTCCTGTGTGCGCTGCTCGCCGTAGTCCACCACCGTGTGCGGTGGGTCGGCGACGAACCACACAAACACGCCCAGCAACTGAACTGAGATCAGGCTGAAGGTGATGACCAGCTGGGAGGCCGGGGAGATGAACCGCGGTGCCGTCACAGCCTTCTTGCCCTGCTCGAAGATGCGGTGGATGCGGTTGGTTTTGGTAAGCAGCGCTGCGTAGCTGAAGCACATCCCCAGGCCCAGGAAGATGCGCCTGAAGGAGCAAACGGCAACGTCAGGGGCTGCGATCATGGGGAAGGTGATAGCATAGCACAGGAAGATACCTGTGAGCAAAACATAGCTCATCTCCCGGCCTGATGCTCGGACAATGGGCGTGTCGTGGTAGCGCACAAAGGTGACAATGACAAAGGTGGTTGCCAGAATGCCAAGAACAGAGATGAAGACTGGCACCACTGCCCATGGAGAGTGCCACTCCAGCTTGATGATGGGGATAGGTTGGCACCCGGTGCGGTTCTGGTCAGGGCGTTGCTCATACGGGCACAGCTCGCACATGAACTCACTGGCCTGGAAGTGGTAGCCCTCACAGCGCTCGCAGTGCCAGCAACATGGTACCCCCTTCACCACCTTCTTTCTCTCGCCCATCTTGCAGGGCAGGCTGCACACAGAGGCGGGCACAGAGGGGTCTCCACTGATCCACTGCATGGCATCCATCTGTGGGGGGCAGAATATGACATTGATCTTGAAAATGGGCAAGAACTAAAAGAAGATGACTCATTAACATTGACTTCATTTACATTTTAGTCATTTAGCAGACGCTCTTATCCAGAGCGACGTACAGTTAGTGAATACATCTTTTTTTTTATACTGGCCCCCCGTGGGAAACGAACCCACAACCCTGGTGTTGCAAACGCCATGCTCTATCAACTGAGCTACATCCCTGCCGGCCATTCCCTCCCCTACCCTGGACGACGCTGGGCCAATTGTGCGCCGCCCATGAGTCTCCCGGTCGCGGCCGGCTGCAACAGAGCCTGGATTCGAACCAGGATCTCTAGTGGCACAGTTAGCACTGCGATGCAGTGCCTTAGACCACTGCGCCACTCAGGAGTACATCATCATCATCATCATCATCATTAAATTAAGTCAAATCTTCTCTCTCTTTCAATATTGGCAAATTAGTTAAATGGATTGTATGACATATTTTGACAGATATTGGGGAGAATGTGTCCCGTGGAAGTAAATGTTATTTATTAACAACATTCTTAGGACTTGGATACAATAACGTTAGGCAGAGACAAAGCAGTGACCTAACATTTAAGGAAAGTGGAGTAATGGCATTCGTCCTTACATTTAGGTGTAGCTGGTCAGTCCAGTGGCCGATGACCTTGTACTCTGCTGTTGACCTGTTGTTGATCTGGTACTGAAAGATGTCGTAGCGTCCTGGAGCATCGCCATTCTCATTAAATGTGACAGGAGTCCCAGCACTTCCTGTAAAACAGGAAACCCAGTGCAGTCAGAATTCATTTTTTTCCTGTGTTTTGTATCATATTGTACAATAGGTGATGAAACTAACACTGTTAAAGTGTGAAGACATGTGATCAGTGTTATTTCCTGATAGTTGCTGGTTGAAAATACAATCTACACAGGACTTTCTAATCAGCAGTTTTGCATGGGTGGGAGTTTCGGCTTGTCTGGTGACAACACACATTTGAAACCCCACCTCTTTAAGGAATACCTGGGATAGGATAAAGTAATCCTTCTACCCCCCCCCCCCCCCCCCCCCCCAAAAAAAAAAAATTGTAAAGTGGTTATCCCACTGGCTATAGGGGGAATGCACCAATTTGTGAGTCGCTCTGGATAAGAGCGTCTGCTAAATGACGTAAATGTGCCCTTGAGCAAGGCACTTAACCCTAATTGCTCCTGTAAGTCGCTCTGGATAAGAGCGTCTGCTAAATGACTAAAATGTAATGTAAATGTTAACACCAGGTGGTAAATTGGTTAATAGACCAAAAACAAAGAGAGTTCCAAATCTCTCTGCCAATAACAGCTAGTTTTCAGTTTTCCCCTCCCCACTCAGACCACTCCCAGACAGTCCTAGCAAAATTGCTACTATTACAGTAAGGTACTTAATTGTTACCAAGAAATGATTTGATATTGATATAAAATTGGCTGCATTGGGCTTTTAACAGTACTGAAAAATGTACATACATTTAGAGAAAAGATTACTGAAACAATGAACTTGGCTGGCGGTGTTATCACAACATCAGATAGCTTGAGTGTTTACAAGATCCTAAATCCTCTGCTTCATTTCTTTACCCATGGTTATGGTATTTAAATATAAAAAAAAGATGGATAATGCATTGACATTGTTATAGTCAAGGCTCTTGTTTGTCAGTGTACCTGTCACAGATACAGCCAAGAAAAATGGTTTAGCCGTCACTATTGACTACAATCTACACTGCCAAAGTTCCAAATTCCTTTCAGGTAGCTATCTTGTCTCCCAGATGACCTGCCTACAGTAACATTGCTCATGTACCACCTCAGGTCCTTAAAACCCACAAAATCCAACACAGTCGGGAAGGAAGTGGAGAGCGTGATTAAAAATATACATCTCAGGAGAACCATGTATTATTACATTTTCTGCAGAGAAGTCGGGAGGATTGGGCCTGAAGTATCAGATAAAGAGATGTGACTCGTCTCCAAAACACCACCCACAACCATATTATGCTTCCTGTGTCTGTCAGTGATAAATTAATCCATTGACACACTTTGCCGCTGTGCGCACCTATCACCCTCTTCCCTTTGTGCGGTGGCTTGGCAGAGAGCTGCAAATTCAACAGGAAGAATAGCTCTGATTGTTTGGACATACACAGCACATCTATCTGCATCTCACTGCAATACACAATAGTCTTAATTAGGCACAGGAGGAAATCCTCCAGTCTGAAGGTATCCCCGAATATTTTGGGGCCCTTCAAGTTGGCACATAATTTCAAATAAAATAAAATGTTATTCGTCACGTTTCATAAACAACAGGTGTGGACTTACTTACTTAATTTATATCACTGATAAAGATCACTAGATGAGATTTGTACATTTTCATTTGTATTTTAATGACTAATGAAGGTTATAAAAGGCATGAGGGATTGGCGGCATACAAACATTTGCAATAACCAAGAATCCACAGTGATATGTTACTGAAATACCCACAGAACACTTTTATAGACATACAGTGCCTTCAGAAAGTATTCACACCCCTTGACTTTTGTGTTACAAGGTGGGATTAAAAATGGATTTAATTGTACTTTTCTGTCAACGATCTACAGAAAATACTCTGTAATGTCAAAGTGTAAGAAAAATTCTAACATTTTGGAAAATAAATTCAGACATTTGTAAAACATTTATGAAAAATAAAACACTCATATATCTTGATTAGATAAGTATTCAGCCCCTTCACTCAATATATGTTAGAATCACCTTTGGCAGTGATTACAGCTGTGCGTCTTTCTGGGTACGTCTCTAAGAGCTTTGCACACCTGGATTGTACAATATTTGCACAATATTCTTTAAAAACGTATTCAAGCTCTGTCAAGTTGGTTTTGATCATTGCTAGACAGCCATTTTCAAGTCTTGCCATAGATTTTAAAGCAGATTTAAGTCAAAATTGTAACTAGGCCACTCAGGAACATTCAATGTCGTCTTGGTAAGCAAGACTGTTTTAAGTTATTGTCCTGCGAAAGCACAGGAGGTTGGTGGCGCCTTATTGGGGAGGATGGGCTCGTGGTAATGGCTGGAGAGGAATGGGTGGAATTGTTTGATGCCATTCCATTCGCTCCGTTCCAGCCATTATTATGAGCTGTCCTCCCCTCAGAAGCCTCCACTAGCTGAAAGGTGAATTTGTCTCCCAGTGTCTGTTGGAAAGCAGACTGAACCAGGTTTTCCTCTAGAATTTTGCCTGTGCTTAGCTCTATTCTGTTTATTTTTATCCTAAAAATCTCCCTAGTCCTTGTCGATGACAAGCATACCCATAACATGATGCAACCACCACCATGCTTGAAAACATGAAGAGTGGTACTCAGTGATGTGTTTTGTTGGATTTGCCCCAAAACATAATGCTTTGTATTCAGGACATAAAGTTCATTTCTTTGACACATTTTTTTTGCAGTTTTACTTTAGTGCCTTATCGAAACAGGATGCATATTTTGGAATATTTGTATTCTGTACTGGCTTCCTTCTTTTCACTCTGTCATTTAGGTTAGTATTGGGGAGTAACTACAATGTTGTTGATCCATCCTCAGTTTCTTCTTATAACAGCCATTAAACTGTAACTGTTTTAAAGTCACCATTGGCCTCATGGTGAAATCCCTGAGCGGTTTCCTTCCTCTCCGGCAACTGAGTTAGGAAGGACGCCTGTATCTATGTAGTGACTGAGTGTATTGATACACCATCTAAAGTGTATTTAATAACTTCACTGTACTCAAAGGGATATTCAATGTCTGCTTTTTTTATTTGTACCTATCTACCAACAGGTACCCTTCTTTGCGAGGCATTTGAAAACCTCCCTGGTCTTTGTGGTTGAATCTGTGTTTGAAATTCACTGCTCGACTGAGGGACGTTACAAATAATTGTATGTTATACACTATTGTTGCACACAGAGTTCATGCAATTTATTTACAACATAATTCCACTTTGACATTATGCAGTATTGTGTGTAGGTCAGTGACACAAAATCTCTATTTAATCCATTTTAAATTCAGGCTGTAACACAACAAAATGTGGAAAAGGTCAAGGGGTGTGAATACTTTCTGAAGCCACTGTATATCTATACATCAACTGATAAGCCAGCAACAATTAGCTTGCCTTGCGTATCAATGCATCTGACATGATATAATGTCATATCTGTAGTTCATCTATACCTTCTTCACATAGGTTCAAGTGATGTTACAGAATGGAACCACCTAGACTTAAACGATGATGGGGCAGTCTGATAATACCTCTGCTCTGACTCAGTCAAAAACAACAATATTAATGCTTGTTCTTAACCGTTCTGCACTCCAATCAGCCCCTTGATTGTAACTTGAACAAACATGACTACACTTCTTTATAGTGCGACTGTGGCTCTTTACATAGATGATTAGATGGTTGGACGATGCGTTGATTGAACCAATCCCAGACATAATCACGGGTTGACCCACTCTCAAGCTTCCAATTACCCACGCAGCCTACAAAGTAGATTCCGTTAGAAACAGAATCCAGAGCAACAGCATATTGTAATGAAAGAGCAGACACCCTCAGTAATTTATGATTATTGAGTGGGCGCAGGTTTTGATTATATCCAAGTCCTACCTTCTTCAACATGAATAAATGCATGGCAAATCGCATCTGCACAACGATGAATTACCATACCATCCTCGGGATCCAGAGCCCCCCCCAGCAAAATCATGTTGATATGAAGTAAAAAATATTCCCAGAATATTTCTCGATATGATGATGGCGCGGGGCTCTGGTACCATATCAGTCTTGATGAATGATAAGATTGGAAACCAGCCCCAGTCACATGGTGATAACAGAGACACAGCAGAATGACAGCTTTCAACAGAATGTCAGACACTTGAAAGGTTTTCATGGGGCCGGATTAGTGCTCTCACATGGGATCTTCAGTCCTCCAGGTAATGGCTGATCAAATAAAATAAAATATTATTTGTCACATGTGCCGAATACAACAGTTGTAATCCTTACCGTGAAATGCTTACTTACAAGCCTTTAACGATCCCTTGTGACAGGCTGACCTGACCCTTGACATTTGCAAAAAGCCCATCCAAAACACAAAACTGTGTTCCAAGCAGTGGCATGAGAATGATATGGATGATAGTGGATGATAGTGGATTATAGTGGATGATAGTGGATGACAGTGGATGATAGTGGATGATAGTGGATGACAGTGGATGATAGTGGATGACAGTGGATGATAGTGGATGACAGTGGATGATAGTGGATGATAGTGGATGACAGTGGATGATAGTGGATGACAGTGGATTATAGTGGATGATAGTGGATGACAGTGGATGACAGTGGATGATAGTGGATGATAGTGGATGACAGTGGATGATAGTGGATGACAGTGGATGATAGTGGATGATAGTGGATGACAGTGGATGATAGTGGATGATAGTGGATGACAGTGGATGATAGTGGATGATAGTGGATGATAGTGGATGACAGTGGATGATAGTGGATGACAGTGGATTATAGTGGATGATAGTGGATGACAGTGGATGATAGTGGATGATAGTGGATGACAGTGGATGATAGTGGATGATAGTGGATGATAGTGGATGATAGTGGATGACAGTGGATGATAGTGGATGATAGTGGATGATAGTGGATGACAGTGGATGATATGGATGACAAAAGAGTGAAGAATCCGCACATTGCTCTAATGCTGCCAAATTGTTTGTTTATTGTTAATGTTAAAATATTTGGTATCAATGTACAGTGTCTTTGTATTTAGTATGGATGCAAACGGGTGCAACTCTCTTTCAGTGAGTTACTGTAAAAACAAAAACAAGCCACTGCATTAATCGCAAAGTAGATCTACTGGCGTTTAATCTCAAAGTAGATCTACTGGCGTTTAATCTCAAAGTAGATCTACTGCCGTTCAATCTCAAAGTAGATCTACTGGCGTTTAATCTCAAAGTAGATCTACTGGCATTTAATCTCAAAGTAGATCTACTGGCGTTTAATCTCAAAGTAGATTGACTGGCGTTTAATCTCAAAGTAGATCTACTGGCGTTTAATCTCAAAGTAGATCTACTGGCGTTTAATCTCAAATTAGATCTACTGGCATTTAATCTCAAAGTAGATCTACTGGCATTTAAGCTCAAAGTAGATCTACTGGGGTGTCAACAGCAATGTTGGATAATGAGTGAGAATGAATAGAGGCACAGAAAGTCGTGTGAAATACTTCATAGGACTCTCTGTCTCTCACACACATAAGCACGCACGCAGCCACGCACACACACTTCACCTATCTCTTTAAATAGGTCTCACAGCCATGGGTGCTTGTTAAACTAAGATTAGTAATAAGTTATTTACAGGCCACATACAAGGGTTTTATATTCAAGATCAACCTTGGTATGGACCTTGAATAAAGCAGCTCATCACCAATGCTCCTTTCTGCCTCAAGGAATCTCAATCCAGAAGGCCAAAAGCTTGACTTTATGCCTTAGGCTAGAAGCAACAGGAAGGAGCGCTTTTGTAAAAGGAATGTGTTGACAGATGACATTGAACTGTAGGTGGGCTCGAGGATCTGTTAAAAAAAACCCACGTGCAGTAATTGCTTGTGAATTATATACTGTGTTATGCTTCATAAATGGGTTATTGTGACAAGGCCTGTCAAAATCATGGCAATCTGATTTGTGCAGTCTCGAGGCTATGGCAGATATACTCTCCCTTTGACAAAACTCTTCCAGATAACACTGTATTAAAACAATATTTTTGTTTGGTTGTTTTGTTTGTCAATAAAACAGATGGAGGAGTGTTATTGTACAGTAGGTCATGTAGACACTTGTAACTCTCTGACTCGAGACACGTCCACATTTCATTTACCTCTAATGGAGGCGAATGTCCACACATATTTCATTTCCTCTATTGGCAGTGCAAATAAGTCATGGGACTGCCAATATATATTCTTATTCTCTGCTACAATGTCCCCCTTAAAGTGCCAACAGGGTCATGGTTCAAGTGTCTAATGCCAGCCCTGCTGTCAGCATACAGGGAGGGAAAAAAGTATTTGATCCCCTGCTGATTTTGTAGGTTTGCCCACTGACAAAGACATGATCAGTCTATCATTTTAATGGTAGCTTTATTTGAACAGTGAGAGACAGAATAA